TGCTGTAATTTCCCCCATTTGAGAGCAGTTTAATCTGAGTTCAGTGAAGGTTCAGTCTTTGAACTGTTACAGCATGGGCTCCTCAGTTTAGTGAAACCAATGGGAAATAAAGCCCCAGTGCAGGTATGATTTTCATCTTCACAAAGTATATTAATGTTCTTCTCAGCTGTACACCCCATTTCCTTCTATCACTAAGAAAGTAGTTTTAATGAATAAAAGACTTAACAAGTTTTTAATTCTTTGAACATCTCTTTAGGTTTTGCAAAATATGAATGTGGTGCATAAATGAATGCTATTTATTTATTTTTTAAGATGGGAGTAATTAAAAGCAGTCAGGTTACCCCAGCTGGGTACCCAGATATACCCAAAACTGCATCTTAAACTTAAGTGGCTGAAGCTGCAGTGTAGTGAAGCACTTAATGCCTGCTTCTCTCTGAAGGCAAATGTGATGTGGCTGTGTGCTTAAGTGGGTTGCTGATTATACTTTACTGAATCAGGGCTAAGCAACTACCACTTATTTAATAATTCTCTTTTTTAGAGATGATGAGTCCTTGCAACCCTGACCTAACCCAAGGGCAACTGCAGGTGGCCAGTACTTTGATTTATGGATGCTATGGTTTTTTTTAATATGAAAAGACTAAAAGTATCTTTTCAAGGCTCTGGAGGACAGTTATTTTAATAATGTTTTTATTGCTCTGGAGAAGAGAGACTCCAAGGGGGAAAAAAGCAAAAACTTTTCCCACCTGTCATTAACATCCTTGATTTATACAGACTTTATGTATTAGGTTCTCTTAACAAGACTTTTTTTTAAAATAAAATAGTCAGTAGTATATAGTGAGAGAAGGTCCACTATGTGAACTCATAGGCCTTCCCAGCATCTCTCTCTCTCTCTCTCTCTCTCTCTCTCCCCAAAATGCTACATTTCAAAGTGTACATTAAAGCATGACTTTGGTCAGCAGCAGTCATAAGAAAAATAGCAAAGACTTATGGGGCCAAGTCTGGCCCTTATTTACCAGCCAACACTGAGTTGTAGCTGACTGAGTGGAGACTGCAGGATTTGTGTCTTCTTGTACAATACAAAGTGCCTAAAGCAAATGACAGGCATCCTGCCGGTTTGTACAATGCCAGTTTTTAGACAGAATAACTTTTAACATGAACGAGAAACCTCAGATTAAAAAGCAGGATTTGTGTCCAGACATGCCAACAGCTCACTTGGACTAGGTCTCCGGCTGTTGTAAATCTGTAACAGCTTGTGGCATCTCCGTTGTTTCAGGCCCCACGCCAAATCATCCTACCTATGGATCTGCCCAGTGGAGTCTAATAGTTTTAAAAAGTTCTGGTCATCTCACAGAACATAAAAGCAGATCTTGGAGTAGATTTCACATTAGAATTGGTGCCGATCCAATCCAACACCAATCATGGTGTTGGAAGGTGCCATTGATCGATTTGATAGAAAATATACTTTCAGTAATAAAGTTCTGTTAGGGAAATTAATGAGGGGAAAACAGAAGGACAGGAAAATCCAGGCAAAAGCTGAACACTTAGGGTCCTTTCACATTTATTTCAGTGCTGCCAGTGAAATGTTCCAATCTGATTTGAGCGTTGGAGTGCGATTACTTTTGTTCCTGTTTACTGTTAATAGCAACTACCATTTTGCAGACTGACAAGGGTTTGTTTTTTCATGGCCAAAATTTTAAACCGAAAGAATACACAGCACAGAGGATTTTTGCTCATTACCCTGGATGAGCCACTGCATTGCATGTGAGTGTTGGGAGAAAAAAAAAAATCTAACAATTGCTTTATCTTCAGGGGGGCTGGTATACCACCGGTGCACTTTGTGATTACCACAGATAAACACATCTTTCAAATGAAGTGCTGCCAGACACACTACAATTTTAAAGCTCCACAGAGTTATTAACTGTATACATCTGTGTATATCCAGGCAATGAGGTGATGATGATGATGTGCTGGAAGATCTTTTCAGTTCTTTTTGTCATTCTCATTTGCTTATAGAAAAGCTCTTAAATGCAGTAAGAGAAACACTGTTAGTATCATCTCTGTTTTGCTTTTTAAGTGTTCATGGGGCCATGTTATGGCAGCTGATTTATTTTGAGAGAAAATACTTAATAGGATATAAAAGACAAGCTGTAATTCCTTGCCTGTTCTTTTGATGTTTTCTGCCTTTTTTATGGCAATGGAACAGAGCCAAACAACTTCCCCTTTGTGTAGTTTATTAGCTTATCTATCTACCGCATAGAACAAAAGCAAAAAGGATAGTTCTGTTAATCTTGTCAGTTATGTTTCTGTTAGCAGATTTCCAAAGTTCCCCTCTTTGGCTGGTTATCAAAGAAACATTTATTATTGCTAGCTCTTAGTCCTGCCTTTGAGTCAAAATCCCAAACAACTGCCTTTCAGGGGCTTGAAGTGCCCCATTCATGCAGGTTCTGATCTGTACATTGCCTTGTTCCTACAGCCAGCTGGGCTGGGGGCTGTGTGTGTTCTGTTCGTGAGCTCCGGTGCTTTTTAAAAATAAAACACATTGTCCTTCCCTTTTAAAAAGGGAAGTGTTCTTCTGTTTCAGCCGTACATTAAGGAGGGCAAAACCAAAGCACTGTTCTGTTTTCTTTTTATATTGCAGAGGGAATGGATTTTGGTGTAGCACCTGAATAATTTTTCATACAGTCATGGAAGTGGGTTTCTAAAACCAGTGGTTGATTAAGACAAAAGATGAAAGAAGGAAAGAAAAGAAACTGAGCTTGTGGGGCATTTTAAGGCAGAGCATGTCTTAGGGAGAAGGAAGGCACAATGTTTGGGGTACTGAAATAGGATTTTGGTAACCCAGTTTCACTTCTGTGCTTCCTATGTAGGACCTTGAACAGAGTCCCTCTGGGACATATCTCATGTATTTCAGTGGAAGTCAAGCTCCGAACTACTTCCAAGGATCTGGCTAACTCCCATCTAAATCACTGCACTTAGTATTTCTTGCTAGCTAGCTCTAAGCCTTCAAAGCCACTCAGCAGACAGAGGACACTTAAAAGAATACCTACATGAATTTTTCACCTCTCTGTCTTATTATTCCGATGCTGCAAATGGGAGATAAGCATCGTCTTACCTCACTGAGGTGCAACGAGGATCAATAAGATGGTGAGGCAGTTGAATGATACACCTGTGAGTCCACAAAAGATTCAAAGGCAAGATGCTTGGGAGAAATCTCATTGACAGAAATGGCTAAGCAGGTGTTCGCTATTTGTGTTATACGATGGACTCCATACTGTCTGTCCATATATGCACTGTGAAAGGGTGTGTTTGAACCTTTATATGTAAGTATATACACTTGTGCATATACTTACTTATCTTTCTGTTATACTTTCCAAATCAGCTATTGTATAGCCTGTTCTGTGGGCACAAATCCGGGAGCTATTACATGATCAGGAAAGTCATAACAGCCTTACAGAGTAAAATTCTCCGTATTTTCCTCGTGCGATAAGCACTCTGTAATCTTACTTCATTAATAACAAGCAGGGAGTAACCAGCCAGCCAAAATAAAACAAGCCCTAAATGTGAATTATCAACAACTTTGACTTGTAACAGGAAGTTTCTTCTTAATGCATGTTTGTTTGTTTCAAATAAAGTACTTACAGTGCTGCTAATTTTTTTCTTTTAACCAGGTGAATGGAGCGAAGCTCTCTATCCCTTGCTGACAACACTCACAGACTGCGTAGCCATGATGAGTGACAAGGCAAAGAAAGCCATGGTCTTTTTATTAATGCAGGACAGTGCCCCGACAATAGGGCTCTGCCTGAGCCTTCAGTATCGCAGGGATGTTGTCTTCTGCCAAACCGTAAGCAAGCAAATATGCATGATTTGATTGCACTTTGACATGTGGTCAGCTTTATATGAAATATGAAAGATGACTGTTTTCAGAATTTTTCAGATCTGTTCTACTCTTGGGTTTAACAGCGTGATTTTGTCTCACAGGCTGTGCTATTCTGTGCTTACTGGTCACTTACACGCATTTGACAATATATAACTTAAGTGTCCCCTTGGATATAAATTCACTATTTAAAAAAAAAAAAAATCCAGAACCAGTGAAAATATACTGCTATCTACAAAAACAACCTTTGCCTTCCAATGCCACCTAACTAAAACCAGAAGTAAGAAGTGAAAGCAGGAGAAAAAAACAACCATGAGCAGAAAGTGTACTCCCTCGGTTACCTTTTGTTGTTTTCTGCATCGAGAAAACCAACGGGACCTGCAGTACCTAAGGAGAGAAGTCCAGCTATGGGGAGAGAAATGAGTGCTGTTTTGGAGGTTTTTTCCTAGAAGTTCTGTTTCTGAGCCTGCTGGGGTCTCTTGTGTCAGCCACTGACAAGCAGGTGTCTGCACTAAAAAACTTCCACATTTCTTCTGCCTGCTACACTTCTGTAGTGTGTCTGCTTCCCCATGAAATCAGTCTCTCGTTCATTTATTTCAAACAGCTTATCTCTTGGACATTGTTTGGTAGGGCTGTTGTCCCAAAATGTAATATCTCATAGAGATAAATTAAGGGAATTTTCTATGTAAAACCCACTTCATATTGCAGATAATTTTTTAAACTCAATGCTTTGAATATGTTTACCCATCATAAATAGAACTTTATTCCCTTTTGTTTAATTCTGTAACAAAGTCATACACCTGTGTACATAGCATATGGCAATCACTTGGGAAATTCCTTTGTTGACAGAGTGAATTAAGACTAGTACTAATTTTAGGTCTTAGTACTAGGTCTTCAGGACCTTGTCCTGAATATCTCGTAATGCTAAAGTTTGAATCTTTGCATAACGCAAAGAGGTATTGCATTTTTAAGCTTTCTTAAAATGTCATTTTAAAAAAAAAATCGTTGATTTATACTCTAAAAATTCATGGCCTGGAACTAGCTGTGTTGCTTTTACATCTGTAACAAAAACAATTCTCCAAGAAGACTCTTTTGTAATTCATAAGTTGTAGGCCCTAATACAAGTGATTGTGTCCAGAAAACAAACAGATGCGAGATCAACAGCAGTCCCATTTTGGGAAAGCTTGCAAGACGAAGGCAGTGTGCCCTAAATCTAATTTTATGAATGCTTTGGTTTTTTGTTGGTGGTTGTCTCTCTTCAGCTGCAAGGAAAACAAGAATGACATTTAAGGGAAAAGAACACCAGTCAGACAGATTTATGATACCCCTTATATGTGATATTGTTTCTGTTTGGGGCTGAAGAGCCTTTTTTGTCTTGAATCATTTCACTCTTGTCTGTTTTCTCTCCAACAGCTGACAGCTCTCATTTGTGGTTTCATTATCAAGCTGAGGAACTGCCTGCATGATGATGGATTTCTAAGACAGCTCTACACCATTGGCTTGCTGGCACAGTTTGAGAGCCTGCTGAGCACTTATGGTAAAGGCACAGGGCAAGTGGGTGGTATTAGCTGTTGAGTCAGCAAATTCTGCTTTAAATTGGCTGCAGCAGAACATGAGTGTTTGGGACAATCTGCAGCCCAGCTACAAAATGATTTTGAAAACTGAAATGCAGAACCAAATTATATCTGGAGTACTTAATTAGCTAACAACTGTAAATTTCTTCGACCTACAGTCGTCATCAAATTGATAAAGGGAAGTTGTGTGTAACAAGCAATGATTATGATTCACTTTTTCTTCCTTGATTTAGGTGAGGAGCTGGCAATGCTGGAGGACATGAGTTTGGGAATCATGGACTTGAGGAATGTAACCTTTAAAGTTACTCAGGCCACATCAAATACATCTACTGACATGCTGCCGGTCATCACTGGAAATCGGTAAAAAAAAAATGGGGGTCGGGCAGGAAGTGGGGTGGGACTGCAGATGGGAGAAGCAGGGATACTGCACTTGAAATGAATTATGTGCTGTTGTACTGTGCTGGTTTTCTCCTCAGAACTTCAAAGCAGTGTTTTGAAGTGGACTAACCCACTTTTACTGATGTTTCATTTTACAGGGAGCTAAGCTGAAAAGGGATATATGGCAAGGCTCAAACCGTGGCAGTATCGTTTTATGAATAAATATCATCTTGACGTAGCCTTCCACAATCATAAGCCAGAAGCGTTCAATCTTTTCTTAAGCACTTGCGCTGTTTTGAAATTTTGGACTGACTTCTGAGGGTGATCTCATTGTGTAAAATTCACTGCTGTTGATCAGTTGGTCAGTGCTTTACTGTATGCCACTGAGTAATGGGCCGCCATTAGCACAGCGGGACACGGAACGTGTATCAGGCAGTTGATGGGCTGCTGCTGAGGTGAGGCCTATTTAGGATCAATTTCCAAACTATCAGGGCCAAGCTGGCTTTGGATGCTTGTGAAACGCCCGACTGCTGCACATTTTGGCCACATGTCTAAAAAGAGATATTTTCAAGGTTGAGTTTAAAAGCAAATTTTATTTTAAAAGTCTGAAGTAAACAAACATTCACATTCTCACGTCAAGTGGAGTGGGAGTGATCTGTTACAGCTTTACTGTGATGGGAAGCGTTTACAACAGAGTCACACTTCAATTTGAATGCCTCAGCCTGCCTATCAGCTGGCCTTGCACTGGTTTCCAACTTGGGGCTGATGGGCCCCTGCAATAGAGCTCTTGCCCAGAAGGAGCCACTTCACAGACGGGGAGGAAGCTGTGGAAGGACAGAGGCCTCACAAAAGTCAATGTTTTAATGTTTCTGTGTTTTAGAGTCTTTAGAATCTTTTAGTTTTGAAATTGATTTCTGGAGGAAATAAGGCTTATTCGATTACAGTGTGCTGTACCAAGCTCCCCTGGAGCTTTGCCCAACTTCTTCCACATCTGAAAAAGAGCTAGAATTCTCAAAGATAAAAACATTTAGAGGAACTTTGTTAAGTTAAGGTTCACATGCAATGAAAAGTGCCCTGGCTGAAGGAGGTCTGCAGTACAATCATGTATGTTACGGAAATTGCTGAGACCTGTGGAAATGGCTGACAGCTGACAGAAAATTCATTTCAAAGAAAATCTTCAGTTGAAACTTGACATCAGCTGTAGGACACTAATGAGCAGGAAACCCGTCTTCATTAGTTTCAGGTCTGATAGTGTTGCTTGCTATTTTGCTGTCTAGATTTTACTCAAGAAAGAGAAGAAAGAAATTGTGCGTATTTATTTTGGTGCAAACTATTGGAAGCTTTACATTTATAGGTGAAAACAGGTTTTTTGCTTTCAGACATAGCATAGGATTTGTGTGTCCATCCAATGTAAATGTGGGACAGACCAATTTTCATTACCTTATTATATACTTCTCAGAGCTCTTTTGCTATACCTGAGAGTATATGCTATACTTGAGAGTTCTGCACTGTAAAGACTTGGATGTAACACCAAGGTATTGCTGCTGATAGGTTAACACACAGCACACAAACCTCAGTAACTTGTGTATTGGCAGTTCCAACATAGGGTAATATGACATACACTGATGTTATGGGATAAGATAAGTTGTGTTACCTCACGTTTGCCATGAGATAAAGCATGCAGAGCGCGCTTTGCTGTAGCTCAGCTGACCCAAGGTAACCTGTTGTGCTGCAGGAACAGCCTATAGGTCTGAGTTATAAGCTCTGTATCAGTGCTTTTGTTAGCTCCCCCTTCAATTTATGCTTGGGTCGTTACTATCATTGCCTCTATCCTTCTGCTCAGAAATGTCAGTACTACTTACTGTATCAAAAAATGTATCCTTTTATGCATGTGCAACATCACATGCCTTTATCATTTTAAAATCAAATATACTTTATTCTTGATGAGATGAGGACATGCCAAGATTTGGCTTTTTCTACCCAAGTTGTACAAGAGCTGCAGTATGAATGAGCAGAGCAAAATCAGCTTTTGTCAGGAAATTGGCAGATCTGATTGAAATGTCCATGAGGATCTAAAATCAACATTACAGGTTGCTGCAGGTTTGTTTTTGAACTAGAATAGCTTTTCTGATTAGGAGCGAGCTATGGCAGTTCCTTAAAGTCCTCAGTTTTGACTGATACTTATTTTTTAATAGTCATATTATGTTCTAGATGTTATCCCTCTTCACATAAATAACACATTCTCGGAATGTAGCTTTTTGATCTTTATGTCTAATAGCTGTTTTTTTATTTTCAGTGATGGATTTAATGTGAGGATCCCTTTGCCAAGCGCCTTGTTTGATTTGTTGCCGCGAGAGATTCAAAGTGGCATGTTACTGAGGGTTCAGCCTGTTCTTTTCAATGTGGGAATCAACGAGCAGCAAACCCTAGCAGAGAAGTATGTATTCAGTCATGCAAGCTCAAACTTAATGGCAATTCGGCAATCTCCTGTTCTGATGGAAGTATGTCTCTGTGGAGTTGCACTGTTGCATTACTAACAGTGATTCAGTTTCTCCAGTACACAAACAAGGGAATATTAAATGAAGCTGTCAAATGCAAAACAAACAAAAGGAGGTCCTTCTTCATATGGCACATAGCTGTGGAGCTCCTTACCTCATGTCTTTGAGTCTAATGCAGGTTTATGTGGTTCAGAAGAGAATTTACAGAAGAGGAAATCTATCATGTGCTATTTAACACAGAGGTACTGCTTGTGGCTTGAGACCTCTGTGAGTGACAGATCACTAGAGGCTGAGAGACCATTCTGAGTATCTCTGTGTATTTGCCCCTTGGTTTTGCACTCTCCCCTAGACTCCCTCTTCTGGCCACTGTCAAAAACCAGGATAATGGACCTTTGTTTTATCATACCATTGCAGTACTTATGTAATGCAACACTGTTCCTGTAAAGCTGAAAAATATAATTATGTAATTATATTTGCTAGGGAAACTGTTCAGTTTTGGAAGAGCCACCAGAGCTTCCCTCTGTTACGGCCATAAGAACACATTGACAGAGGACTGCTCTAATGGAGGGCTCCAGTGAAGTCAGGCACATGCGTGTTGTGACAGCAGCCTTGGTACTTGGGTGGAGTGTGCAGTATGATAGTGGACAACTAGAAAAAGTCTAACAAAGGCATTCCAGCAGTGACTGTTGTCCTCTGTTGCCTATAAACAGAGCCCAAGGTGACTAGCACAGTTACAGGTGTCAACACTGTGCGCGCATATACATGTATGTAGATAGAGTTAGATGAGATGAATCATGGCATTGTAGATGAGATGAATCATGGCATTGTTGACAATATTTATTACATTCATGGTTTATTACTCCTAGATCCATATTTCTCATTTACATATCTGAAGTCAAAGTTCCCAACCCTATCTACTGATGTCATGGTTATTATTAACGTATGAACTAAACTAGTAAATCCATTATTAAAAGTTTGAATTTTGGCAAAATGATTTACCAGATGTGTATTTAATATTGAAAGAGAGACACAAAAGCCAAAGAATTTTAAGTACTATTTTCTACAAGATTTTTCTTTCACTTTTGTTCCCACTTTGCCCTCACACTCATATATTCTGTAATGAATCACTACAACACTTCTCTGTTACACTTTACTCTGCATTTGAATGGTTAGGAATTTCATGGGATGAATCTTTAAACTGTTTTCTGGTAGTCATATTGCCAAATGTAGTTGTCTTCGAAGAAGGTGAGAAACCTTTTACCTTGGGCTTAACTGTTCCTTTCTTCACCTTTTAAAGGTTTGGAGATACCTCACTGCAAGAAGTAATTAACATGGAAAGCTTAGTGCGGTTGAATTCCTATTTTGAGCAGTTCAAGGAAGTTTTGCCTGATGATTGTAAGTATTTGCTAATTAATGGCAGATTTGGTTGAACAGCACAATTCAGGCTGATTTTTTAATTTGTTTGCTTCATCTTAGTTGTTTAAATGTTGATGATACACCAGCATTAGTAACCACCAAGAAACGATGCAACTCTATTTTAATACGTTAGTACTAAGTAGAGCAGATTCAAGAGGTTTAAAGGTCAGTCTGATTAACTTTCCTTTTTTAATTTACTTTGCCAGTCTTTCTAAGTGGCACTATGTACTGTATAAACATGCAGCTAGGCAGTTAGATTGCCGTGAGGGGAAGGCATAAAAGTGACAGGTCATAGCAGCAGCAGTTTTATGTGCAGTTTTTGGTCACGTTCTCTGTACTGATGATAACCTGCACAGAGAGCAACTGCCAGTTTTTAGGAACTTAATCACTTTCCCTCTGCTTATCCTTTGGCACTTTCCTATAATTGTTGCATCTGCAGCCAGGAACAGAGAAGTCTAGCACCTGGAAGAGAGACAATAGCTACAAGCTTGAATTTTGCTGGTTATATAGGAAAATTTCGTGCTTGTTACTGTTTTTTTGGGAGGCAGTGGCATAAATGTTATTTACATGTGATGACAAAAATAGTGAAAATTCGTTGATTCGTTATTATTAGTATCAAACCTCTTGTAAGCTAATTTCATGGGTCCCACAATTGCAGTTTTATTGCAAAAATACAAATGCAGCAACATGCAACAGGACAGTGAGAATTCTGTCTGTTATACATTATAGTACTTTCAGTTACCCTGGATTTTTTTTTGATGCGGCTGAGAGCAGAAACTGTTTCCATCCTTCTGGGCATTCGTAATCCTCCATAATTAATTCTCTGAAATTCTAGCTGCAAAATTTTATTTGTTTTATTATATATTAGTCTAGCATCAAACTTCCTTGTAAAGTTCAAAAATTAATCAATTTAAGGTTATTTTTGTTCTGCTTTTCTCCCCGTTACTTACTGTCTTTGTCCACGGTCTTCCATAAAAATAGTTCCCATTCAGCTCCTTCCTCTCCTCTTAGATTTTGCTCACTTTTTTTTTCCACTTGTGTCTCTTCCCTCATCCCCAAACCTCTGATATTGATCTTTTAGCTTTTGCCTTTTTTCCTGAAACTTTTTTTTTATCCTGCAGTCTGTTTTCTTTCCTGTCATTTGTTCCTTCTCTTTTCATGTTTTTTGGACTTTGTTTTGACTTTATACTTATTCTCCTCTATTTTTAAACAGCAGTGGTGTCATGACCTTGAGTTTCTCATTTACTGCTAACACTTACTCCTGATACCACAGGTTTTTCTTCAAGTAACTTGAAGTTGTGAATAAGCTTGGCGTGCCATGTTGGACAGGTGGCATTAACGTGCACCTTAACAGTGAAAGAAAACAGAATTGTCTTGTGTTCACCTTCCTTTTCTCGCTTACTCTGGTTACTTGTCATTACATTGATCCCTGCCACATGAAATGAATACCACAAAGGGGGAAAATCTGTTCTCTACCAAAACTTTCTTCTGCTTCACTGTTTGTTCTGGGTAAATGCAGACATATTGTACCTGGTTTTGCAATCCAGCTTGGACAAATGGTTTGTGGTTATAAACATTAAGCAAATGTTTTGATTAGAAGTGTGAAAAAAATATTGCAGGTGTCCCAGCAGATGTGTTAGAGATGCCCTGTGAAAAGCTGAGACTATATGGACAAACCTGGGACTGTGCTTGTCATAAGGAAGGTCTGAGGGTGTGTTTTGTACCTCCTCTGTGGTGATATTTAGGACGTACAAAGTGAAACATACTTTTCCATGAACCCTTGTCAAGAGAGAATAACATTTTACATTTAACTGTAAAACAAGTGGTTATTATGACCAGCCAGTGGTGTAGTCTGTGGTAAGTACAGGCAAAAGGAAAACTGAACCGATCATTTTAGAGGACAAGAGGCCCGGTGAAGTATCTGCTGGCAGCTTATAGGAAATGTTCCCTTCAAGAACAATACACAAGGGAAACTGATTCCTGATCCACTGTCCTTGTCCCTGTGCTCTTAATTCTAAGCACTGCAGAGTTTCTAAGAAGTGAATGACTGTCTTACCTTCATTAGCTCCTTGTCCTTGTTCCATTAGCCTCTCCTTGTCTTTAGAAATACCTGGGGAGATGGTCTGTGCACCCTTTTTTTTTTTTACAGGTATTACTTTCTAGGTGTAGAGTTCAGGCAGAGCAGACCAGGATAGACCCAATATTGCTAACATACTATCTGCTGTGAGACGAGGTGTGGTCCAAAAAGAAAACCTCATGTATCACCCGTGCGGGGTTCTTTTTGTCACATAGTCATTTTTTAACAGTGCATACAGCCTTACCTATCCAGTCACAGCCTTCGTTGGTGTCCTCTGTAGTTACCCCTTAAAAAAAAAAAAGATTACCTATTTAATACTTGTTGATTGTCTTTGAGTATCTTGCTACATGTATAAGAGATGACATGTAACACTTTGAACATGTAAGATGACTGTTGAAAGCACTCTGAAATATTTCAACTGATTTATTTCCACTTAGTGAAATATTAATAAACAGATCGTGGGAGTGCAGTGTCCTATTGGAAAGAGTATTTCTTGTAACGGAAAACTGGCCAGCTCACAAGTTTAAAATTGAAAATATGCTCAGAGTATAAAATGATATCTTCAGGGTTTCTGTGGAGACATGCATGATATGCTGTCACCTCTGAGGGGCGATAATATGGGCAGTTACATGTTTATATACAGTTATGAACAGTGTATGAAAGCAAGCACATCTGTGACACACAAACCAAGATACTATACCAATCTTGCTGCCTTTGTTCACTCTACTGTTATATTGCTATCAGATTCTGAGCCCCTGAAGTTTTAAGTAACCTGAATGTATATTTCCAGTTGAGTTTAATGAAGCTTGAATTTGTTTTGTTGGTGGCACTAAGCAATTAAGAATTGGATTAATTGTTGTAAGCTTTGATAGTTTCAAGAAAACATGACTGTGTTTGCAACAGGCATGTAGGAACACTTTCCATGTAACTTATCTTTGTAGAAATGTTGAATACAGGTAAATAAGTGAAGTTGGTTTTGTTTGTTTTATAGGTCTACCTCGATCTCGTAGTCAGACGTGCCTGCCTGAACTGTTAAGATTTCTGGGACAAAACGTACATGCAAGGAAAAATAAGAACGTTGATATCCTTTGGCAAGCTGCTGAGGTATTTATTAATCTAAGCATCTCTGCATAGTTCAGTTTATTTTCTGTGTGCATATGTATTTTTCCCTTTTTTATTACTGCTATGTTCGAATTTCTTCATTTGCTTGCATATAGCTTGGAAATGCTGCCAGATTAATCCTCCTCTAGAATGAGACATGGGGAGATAAAATGTATTTTCCACATCAGTATTTTACCTGCAACTCATGTAACGAAGCTTTGCTCTTTCAACGATGACAACTTTTGGCATCAAAGTCCTACACAACATTTGTGTCTCTCTGAGGAGAAGTACAGGTGTGTTCTCTGACAGAAGGTTATGCATGAAGAAGGAATGATGAATTGTATGTCCCATTTCTAGATATGCCGCAGACTAAATGGTGTTCGGTTTACAAGCTGTAAAAGTGCCAAGGATAGGACTGCCATGTCGGTCACCCTAGAGCAGTGTTTGATCCTACAGCACGAACATGGAATGGCTCCACAGGTCTTCACGCAGGCTCTGGAGTGTATGAGGAGGTAAGAGTTTGACTGCGTCACTTATTCCTCAATGAGGAACCATGCAAACTGCAGAGGAGCAGTGGTCTCTGTTTCTATCAAAAGGTAAAAAAAGTAAAATAAAGCCAGAAAACTGCAAAACTGGCTGCTAGAATTCATCCCTCCCTTGCATGTATTAGTGAGTTGCACATTCTAAATCTGGTTGTTACCAGATTTGGATCAGATGGGCGTTAGTTTTCAGTAGTGAATCAGGAGTTTTCAGAGGAGCATGTAAAAACGTGTTTTCAATTAATGCTGAGCTTACAGAACAGGAAACTGGTGCTTCTTTGAAAGTTGTTTAATGCTGAGGTTACCTTAACTGTCATAGCACTGGGTTTCTTAGTTCTAGATCAGGCAGATTTCTCAGGGATGACCTGTCTTTTGTTCTTGGAAACATAGACACTTGCAGTTTGCAGTGGTTTGCCACGTGTATTCTTTAGCAGTGAAACGCCGCTCACTGGGCGAAATGTCAGTATGAGTGTTTCACAATACAGCAACCAAATTTCATCACAACGTGTCAGTGTGCTGTTGTCCTATCAATATAATGATGTTCTGTATTCTGAAGCAGCAGAGACGTTTGCAGAATTAAATACTGTACTTAAAAAAAAAAAAAAAGAAAATCTGTTTACTGTTGTTCAATGCCTTGTTTCAAGCACTGCTGGAAAACTCCGTAACTCACATACCAAAAGAAAGGATAAGAAATCTAGCTTTAGTCTTTATCAATGTAGTTCAACAATGCTGTTCAGTCCTGTTTTTCAACATTCACTCTTACTGAATGTACTGTACTGTGTGTCTTCTCACCAAATTCTCTAGAGTGTTCAATTCTCTTATCCTTTCTGTATGTTTTTGCTGTTTGACCCTTTCTTACTCTTCAGTTACCTAGAAGGAAAATGTCTCATATAATGACACCTGCAGCCTCCTCCACTAATAATTTGATTTTTATATCTACATCTAATTGGATGTCACTGGACTTTTTTATTTTCATTTTTTTCCTGCACTTTTTGCTGCGTTGTTACAGGGTTAGTACAGTGCCTGAAAACGGCATTCAGAGAGTAGGTAAACCTTGGTATTAGAAACAAAGCCCGGAACAGCTTTTTGAGGGAGAAGTTATTAACTTAAAATGAAGCTAAGTGGCTCTCAAATATCTCTATTTGAATTATGCAACTTGTCAACTTAGACATCTGAAAGAAAAAAAGCTTTGTTGCACAGTTGTTTATTTAGTAAGAATAAGAACTGAATGAGTATAATACTAGGAATCTTGTTATTTTCTTTAAATTAGTTACTGAGTTAAAGTGGTTTTTTTTTTTAATGCAGTCATGGACACAGTAGAGACAAAAGTTAATAACAACATTGTTTTGGACTTTCAGACTATCAATTTAATATAACACAGAATCAGATAAAATATTGACCCAAGAAACGCATTGCTTTATGTTGACCTACACAGGGATATTGAAAGAGGGCCAATTTAATCAAAGCCTTTGGCTAGTGTGTTCTAGCAACATCAGGGACTTGCTCTAACAGGTGAAAGACGTGACTTTCTCTTCTTCTGTTAAATCTTTGACTTAAGAGAGATTGTGCAGAACAAATACTGACTAGTCCTGAGGGAATACTAAGATTAGACCATTCTTCAAGCCCGTTACTCTTTCTTCCTCACATCTCATTGCTGTTTGGGGTAGGTTGTTGTGTTTTTAAAATTATTTGCCAGTTCTGCTGAGGAGCAATGGCACAGAATTAACAGAGCTTAATGAGAGATGTGATTATGGAACAAACATGTAGGATACCAACTCTACCCAAACCCATTTCAACCTGGACAGGATAACCTGACCTAGATGACAGACATACGAAGTGAGAGAGTTGCAAATTACTTCCAGGGCATTCAGAAAACTTGCTTTTTCTTTTAACTTGGATCTTTTATCTGTGTAATTGTACAAGAAAACAAGCGCTCGGTTCAGTCTTTAAGGCTTCTGAAGTTTCTGGGGCAGTTGGAAGGGCAGGGAAGAAGCACTATTAAGTTGTGGGAGTCAAAGAAAGTACTTCATTTCTTTTCTACTGGTAACTTTCCAGAGAAGAAAAGCATCCTTGCTTACACTGTTCTTGAAAAATGAAGAAAGCACCCTCGTCTTCCATGTGATGCTGGTCTTCAGAGGTGTTAGTTCCCACTTACTCATCCTCAGAGACTTTGTTTCCTTCCTAGTCTTGTGATAATTACGTATCTGTGATAATTTTGTTCAGTGAGCATGGACATCAGGGAGAGAACATTGAGTGCTCCTTGTGGATTCTTGTAGAAATTCACAGGTACAAGTTTGTGACTTTCACCTTAGAAACAAATATCCTATTAGAATAAACTCACTTTTCTGTAAATAAGTCACAACTTTTCCTGTCCCAAATCAAATACATAGTAACTCTCAGCCTACAAATAGTAAAATCATGATGATATGTCTGGAAGTCCAAGCTACAGAGGAAACGACTACCTGGCCAGTAAAGGCAGCTCAAGAGTCAAAGTCCAACTGGATCACATAGCCTCTTCCATCTGCAGCAGTGCCAACACTCCTCACTAGACTTGTGTCTCCCTGCCCTCCCTCCTCCTACCAGATTACTGTCCTGTCAGATACGCTGGTGGAGCTGTTTGTGTGAATATAGTCTAATCCAGTTTCAGTCAAAGTCAGCCTGGGTAGCAAAATCTTTTACACGTTTAAGGTTTTCATTAAACCAATTAGGAAGTTGTGACACAAGCAGTTCAGCCAACAGAGAAGAGCTGTCTCCAATAGGGGCTCTTGAAAAGCAGCTGGAAATGGGGTGAGGGAAATAATCGCTTCTAGCTGCTTCTAGTCATGTTTGGATACAACCACTCACTCCAATAAAACAACCATTAAAAGTTTGGTTGGATTTTTTCACTGGTTGACCTGATTTAAGAATAAAATTGTGGTGGGTTGACCTTGGCCACCTGCCAGACGCCCACCCAGCCACTCTCTCACTCCGCCTCCTCAACAGGACAGGGGGAGAAAAGACGATGAAAAAGCTTGTTTGTTGAGATAAAGACAGGGAGATCACTTGCCAGTTACTGTTACAGGCAAAACAGACTCAACTTAAAGAAAATTAATTTATTGCCAATAGATTTGGATGGTAAGAAACAAAGACAAAAATTAAAATACCTTCTCTCCACAACCTCTTTTTTTCCCAGGCCCAAGTACTTCACTCCTTCGTTCCCAACTCCTCTACCTCCTCCCCACACTCCCTTTATCCACCACTTTCCAGTCAACATTAGCTTTCTGCTCACTGATCACACTCCAGTTCGTTTAATATTCCCTCACCATCTCCTTCAGAGGTCTTTCTATATTTTGAGTACCTTTCAGTGCATAGTTATGCCCAGGCAATTGCCAACAAATATATTTTTTTTTTCTTACCTGTACCAGATACATTCCTGTATGTGCTCTTCTTATTCAGCAGTAGCCCAGGCAGGAAGGAGAGTACTTGCCTTTCAAATACGTGGGAGACTGCAGCTGCATTGACTTGTAAGTCCAGTCCTCAGGTCAGCCTTGAGCTCAGGTGCTCCTTTTATCCTTCTTTTAGGTGGACATTAGGTATTGGCTGGTGGAGAAAACTCAAACCTACACTATAGTTCAGTGCAGTCTCAGGGCTGCACCCCTCTCGGGGTGGAAATGAGTCAAGCCTAGATACTGCTGTGTATCCTACTTGCCCTTCCCACTGCCATGTGTGATTGTGGGTTCTTCTCAAAGGTACTTATTTCCCCCTCCTCCAGCACTACAAAGATAACTGGGATTCATAGGCATCACAGACTCAATCTGCCCTTATCCAGTGTAGGCACCAGGAGTGAAAAACATATTTTGATCACCAATTTGGATGTGTTAATCCAGATCAGAAATACAGTTGGTTTAGTTCCCTGCCCACCTAATTCCATTTGACTTGAAGTGTTGCCAACATCTGAAGGCTATTTTTCTCTTTCACCCCCTCCAGAGTCTCTCTGATGTCTTCCAAGACATTGTCTGTTGGTTACCTAACCTTGCTATGCAACCAGCAAGGTTATGTGTCACCCTTTATGGATGGAGTGAGTGTACTTGTTCTAACAGGGTCAGGCTCACAGGTTGCGTTTAGTTGTTGGGTTTTGTAAACTAAAAGTAGAGTTGGACTGCGCAGGGTATAAGAGTGATCCAAAATGAAACACCCCACTACAAAGCCTCAGGTTACCTGAAGAGGTGTTCTCTGCTATAGGCCTTCTGTGCTCAAAGCAATGGAGGAAGCAGGGGCATCATAAGATGGGCTGTGCAGCATGTCTTGCCTTCACATGCATATATTGAGGCACTTCAGAAACGTGCATTTTGGAAAGCATATTGATACACACTTGAATTCATGTTGAAGCAGAAAAATCAGTGGGTGGTTTGGGGCTTTTGTTTACATATTGAGCAGGTAGTTAAGAAGTTAAATTATTTCACTGCAGACTACATGGAAAGATGTTTGAAAGGGTCAAATACTACAATGGTTATTCATGTTCAGCTTGCTTTTCAGAGCTCCACTTCTTTGCAGCATGCGGAAGCATGGCCGAGCAGCATGGGATATTATTGCTTGGTAATCTGAAAGAATGAACATGGAAAACCATTTATGTTCAACCTACATGTGTTTATTTTCAGTAGACTACAGTACTTCTTTTTTTCCCTCTCCTTATTTCTGTAATTGTGCTGATACATATTTTTGAGATGTTTTCCCACTCTTTCTTTTACTTCATCTTCTGGTTTTGTTGTGCTTTCTTCCATGTATTTTCATTTTCTTGACCACCTTGTGTTGCCATCTCTTTTTATACATTCATTTGCATGTCCGTCTTCCTTTCTGTTTTATTTTCCCTCCTCCCAACCTTCTTCCTTTTCACAGCATTGGAACACGGGAGGTAGTCACCCAGAAGAACTTGAGTGGCTTGGTGCCCATCCGAGATTTCAGACTAGATCCCAGCCTCCTCTACTCTATTCCTTTACTAGCTCTCAGCCCCAATTTACTGATTGTGTGGCTGTTTCTGAGCATAGCATACCTGGTGGCCAGATTACGTTGCAAGTGAAGATAAGGTTAAAAAAAAAACAAAACCAAAAAAAGTGCTTGAATGTGTATTGCCACTTGGTACCTGCTGGACAAAGGAATGTGTCATAGTATTGTCTGCCAAGAATTATTATTATGCCTTACAATTTTACGTTTCTATTGTACTAAACTGTAAATATACATCAAATTATTTTATCGAAAAGAATTGTATTGAAACTTTAAATTATTGTTCTGCTTTCAGTGCTTGTAACATAGTCTGACATTGGCCTGTTACCTCGTTACTTTAGCCGGCCTGAAGATCTCTTACCAAATATAGTTTTGTGTTACTTGTTTCATGTATTCCAGAGAAAGGAACTCTGTCTGAAAAGAATTTGTATCTTTTTGTATATTTAAGGTGTATGCTAATCTTGCCTTTCATTTTTACGAGGTATGAAGAGAAAAACAAAAACACGGGTGGGGTTTATAAGAAATTATAAGAAATTTATTTAAAGAAATAAACAAATTTCTACCTTCATTTCAAAGCATAATATCCAAATTACATTACTGAACAGTTTGTAGAACCATAGTCTTGTTCCTTTCTCATGGTTAAGTATGTTCCAATAGACTAGTGTACCCACTCAAAAAACAACTTGCGGTGCGCTGCATGCAGAATTATTTCATTCTATTTGTAGATCTGCATTTTGTAATTGTATTAAAGACATAAAGAGAATGACTTGTGATTAGGAAGAGGATGTAATTGGCATTAGCCTGCTAATGATCCATCATCTGTTTCAGGTGCTCTGTTATAGAATTTGTTCTGAAACAGGGTCATTATCATCCTAGAAGTTAGTCTTTAATCTTTCAGGCAAGAAGAGGGAGGTATCAGTTAGCTCCTTTAGTAGGTGGGTTTGAGGTTTTCCATTGGGCTTTGTTTTAATTACACTAGACTAAATATTACTGTTATTTCTATTTTTAAGTGTTGGACAGCTTTAATAAATTATGATGTTGATAGTGACTTAGTGGTAAACGAATGATGGTAGGTTAACATTTATTTAAGTGATGAGACTAAAATGGCTTACCTAGTTTAATCACGCAGAATAAGCGCAGCTGAAATTTGATCATCATTTATATATAACACCAAACTGGGAGAGGCCTATTGAAATAGAAAGATTTTGTTGATGCAGTGGCCTGACAGAGCTTGTCAATAGCAATAGCTGATGAAAATACCTAACCTCATTTAATGTAGTTTGCTAAATTCATAAAGGGATTTACTTCGCTTGGTGCCTGAGATAATAGGAAATTGGGCTTCTGAGGAGAACTCTTCTAGTACTGTGATTTCTATTTTCTACTATTATTAACTTGCTCAAAAAACATAGGTAGCTATAGCTTTTATTATGAGTATTAATGGAATCTGACAGCTTCTGAGAGAAAGCTTAAAAAAAGATAAAAAACCACAATAAAAATTAGAATAAAATCCTAAATTTGGTGAATATTCTAACTAAAAAAAAAAGTATGTGGTTACATTTGTGTCTTCATGAATTCAGACTGTACAGTACACTATCTCTTGGCATTTTTCCTCACTGTTCTTCCAATTTTGTTCTTGAGAGAAAAAAAGCCCAGAAAGACAGACATACGTACATATACACACACACACATACGTATACATGTATCCTATTCATTTTTAGTTGCAATGAATTTAGGCTTCCTGCTGATGAGATTTAAAATCATGGTATGATGGTATTGGACATATCCACGTCCTGTGCTGATATCTGGTACCACTGCGTCTCCATACAAATCATCTCTTCTCTCTGATTAACACTGGTTCATTTGCTATGGGTTCCAAAAATCTACCTTTTTACAAAGTGAAGGAATATCAGGTTGGACTGTGGCCTTGTTCTTGCAATGGGATGAGTGTCCTGGGTTTGGTCTAACCAGATGTGAAAGTAACTTTAGTAGGAGTATCTCCACTGAACTCCTGGAGATTATGAATCTGTTTAAATAAAGTATGAAGGCTTTGCTCATGACTATTATTAGGCCTACAGTAAGAGCACCCTTAAGTTCATCTGGAATGAAAGCCTAGGCTTTTTGAAAACAATGTCTTTTTTTCTTAAACTTTGGTGGGGACAAGTTTTTGTCTTTTTTTCTTCTTTAGCTTGGTCTGTGCTTTCGTTCAGGCATTCAGATTTAAAATGCTGTAGCGCATACTGCTTATGTGTCTCCAGCAGTCTTCTGGCACGTGGCACATGAAATGGTGTGTGAAATACATCTTTGTCACCATCTCTGTGGCCCACCTTGCCATAGAGGGACATGGGCAATAACCAGATGCAGTGGAATGAATTATGAACAGAATGATTCACTCGGAGTGAAAATGCTCATCCGCTATCCCATATACGCTATTTAAACTTACTGTTTTTATTAGTACTGTGAACTATAATTTGTGCAAATTTTTGATGAATCTATTTGACTGCAACGACCTGTGGGCGGGTTCTGTAAAATACAAAACAATGCCACAAAAAATAGTGTCATCACGTACGACCCGTTCTATAAAAGGCAGTCACGGAATGTGCTCCAGAGGCAAATTTCAAACTTAAACTGTTTCTTAGAGCAAAAAGTTACAATGTTCTATGAAGTTAAACTAGGTGGTACATACAGAACAGAGTTACAGTCAGTTTAATTAACCAAAATTAGAAGAACAGGGAGGTCAGTAAGAGCAGAGAGCTTTCAAACTGAACCAGAATCCAAACCCTCCTCTGGAATCAGATGACCACAGTTTATCCAATAGATGCTGCAGCCATCTCCAAGACAGGCATAACATGACATTTCTACCATAAGATGGTGTACTGTACGCTTTGCCATGAAGTTCTAGTATTAAATCATTGTTTAGGTTTCAGTTCTCTATCAAGGAAAGACATTCTCCTGCAAGCCTAAATTGATTTATAATATGTATTTAAAAGATAGTGCTTCCTCTTTGTACGTCTGTTTTTGGATATAATCAAAGGAACTCTGAAGTAGATTTACAAGTGTAAAGAAGCCTTAAAACTGGAGTAGTTTTTTATTGTAGCACAGAACCTCTTTGTAATGTGGGGCAGTTGTACCAAAACACTGGGTAAAAATTAAATTCTGCACAGCTTTGTTTCCTTGGGGTCGTGACTGCCAACGCAGCCAATCTTTTTTGCACCCACACAAAGCTGCTATTTCATGATTAAGATTTTTTTTTTTTTTAGACTATGTTGGTTTTCAAGTCAATTTATGCATGCAGAGATAACCGGAAAGTCATTATTTTTGTATCAGCTCTAATCTTTAAGTAAGTACTGATAATACTGACGTACAGGGAACAATGAAATTACTGTAAAGCTCTTACTGAGAGAACAGCAGTTTTTCTTTTTCAGCTAATATACTAATAAATTAGCAGAACTGCTTGTAAGCAATCTCTTGGGATCCCTTGTGCAATGAAGCGGCATGTGAACTCCACAACAGTGTACCCTGAAATACATGAAACCATCACGAGAGAGCTTTCTCAGTAGATGCACTGCTGCTTTTTAGAAATGCAAAACTACCAGTCAGACATAGCATGTATCCATTCTGTGTGCTTCTTACTAGCATTGTATGATGAGCCATCATTTTTAATATTTGCAGTGGCAAATTAATTAAGACGCTCATTAAATATAACCAACTTTTTGTTAATGCTATAAAATAACCAGTTCATTTCATCTTAGTTTAAGTCTTTTTTTTTTTTTTTTCCTTTTTACTGCTGTCATTTTTTGTGCTTGTTTTTTTTCCCCAGTGAGGGTTGTCGGCGAGAAAATACAATGAAGAATGTTGGATGTCGCAAGTATGCATTTAATTCCCTGCAGCTGAAGGCTTTCCCAAAGTATTACAGGCCTCCAGAAGGAACTTATGGAAAAGTTGAAACATAAGCATACTATGTCCTTTAATTGCTGTTCCATTAAAACATGTGGATACACTCTAGATTAATACATGATTTTGTCATCCAGAAGAGATAAATAACCTTTTTGTACATTTCGCTAGGTTATACAGAGCATGTTACTTACAGAATTGGAATCTATAGTAACAGTTATTCTGACACCTTAGCTTGAGAATAGTGTGATGACTCTCTGCCCGTTTAAATAGCCTTCAGTGTATGTAAGACGAACAGATATTGTGCTACTTAATAATTACCTATATGCAAATAGCTAGGTACCTCCTGGATGGGCAAGGACTTTAGGAACGGCGTGTAGGCAGCTGTTTCACATAACATCTTTTTATACTGAGTTGACTTGAGATTGAGCTTTTCATAAACTTTTTAAAACTGAGAGTAAAACTCAGAAGTTGTAAATAAAAAGGGATTGGATCCTAGAAAGTCTAATAACTGTAGAGTGCACTGTTACAATCAAGAAACAAGTTTAACTTTTAAAAAAAAAAATTAGCACAATAAAAGCCAGGAGTATAAATTGTTTTACTGTATATAGGATGCCATCTTCATATATGAAATTAACAATACATAAAAGGCCAGGCATATGAGGTCTAGTTTCTAGTTCTGTCCAAATAAAACAAATTCCCGTCTTCTTCAGCAGAGATGGGCTTGGGCACACATCTTAACTGATTTTAAAAAAGGTTTCAAAAACATAATGATGCTTAACCATTAATACCAGCAACAGTGCCCCCTGCCCCTGCAAACTATAAGGCAAGTGCAACAAGCAAGTTGCTCATGTTGCAGGTGACATGTTCGGTATGCTCCATGGTATTGTATATTAATTAACACATTTTTACCCGTAGCTTTTTATGTCACTTCTGGATTGTAAGCATTAGTATCTCGGGGGGGTTACATTTTTTTTATTAGTGTTGATTTTTTTTTTCCATATCAATTTTGTATGTCAATACAAAAATGGTCAAAGTGCCCAACGCATCCCCGTTACTCCATAACCAAAATTGGTTTCTGTTTACCTTTGCATTTTACCTGGGCAGATGTTCAGAATCCTGGGGGGGCAGTATGACTGTTTTCAGGGTATTTCTGAGGAAGGTAGCGATGCCCCATGTTGATAGAAAGCAGTTGCTCATGTGCTACTGCTAATGTGCGAGAACCTCAGATGTGTTCTAGCTTATGACTAAGGTGATCACTTTGATAGCATTTGATAAAAAATGTTCAACAGATCTCCTCAGAAATAATCTCACAAAGAATGCCTTTGAAGCTAAGATACCTTTTTAAAAAGCAGGTAAACATTCATTTCCAAATTTTAACAGGATTAAGTCATCTCTGGCTAGCTTTGTTCAGCACACTGTGCCCTCTCCTTCTTGGTTCCTAAGGATATAAGCTTTAGAATAGAAAAATCTGCTCATTTATTCTTGTGAGAGCAGCAACAGCCAGGTAAGTATATGGCTGTTTTCTGATTTCTTTCTCCCTCTCACTGATGTTTGTCTGTGCTGTCACTGCTCTATCAGTCAGTCATGTTCATTCTGCTCCCATGTAGGTTTGGGGGTTCCAGGTCTAGCAGTTTTTGCATTTTGCTTTTTGCAGTTTAACACTGAGCAGCACGTCACAAAGCCAGGTCAGAGAGTTCTGCTGATCTAGGTTGTTACCATCATTTCAGTCTCTCTAGGATAACAAAACACTGAGTTCCGCGCAAAATCAATGTATTGTAGTACCTATCCCAGGTCTGAACAAGTCATCTACTGTAGAACAGTCCCTTGGAAATCTTACAAACCCCGTTCGCCAATTAATAAATGTTGATTTTATTTTATTGTTAATATGTAAACAAATGTATGGTGAAAAACTTTTCAATGGGATCTCTTTAGACGTGTTACTCCATTAGTTCTGCTCAACCTTCAGTCCCTGGCCCATTATTAAATGCTACATTTATTTTTGTATAAATGATACTCTCTATATCCCTTAGTTTTTATGAGTTGATAATTTTATTTTGTATATTTCAAACATAGTTAATTATATTTTAAGTCCTGTATTGTTACACTAAAAATCTTCCAATGTTCAGCTTCAGAAGCAAATAACGAGAGGTCTGTTGTAACAATTAGCAGAGCCACTCTCTTAGGCTGTGGCCAGCAATCATTAGGTCTACTCTAGAGCTTAGCGAGCCTTTATTTATTTTGTATACCAATGTAATCAGAAAAAGTTGCCGAATTTTGTACATGCATGGTTTTTGCTCACCTTTTTAAAGTGGTGGAATACCGGTCTCAAGTACTGCATTATTTTGTTTAAAATATTCTGGTTTCCGTATGCTTACATGTAAAACATTGTTGTCCACCTGACATTTTGTATATACCACATTGTCAGTACATGCACATCGACGGGCTTGTTTAAAGGGCATAATGAACAGTAAGATCTCGAGCAGTTCATCAAAAAAGAAAAACTGAAACTTGAAATCCACATAGGACGCTTCACAAGGGTGAAGTCAGCTTTTCTGTTGCACAGGAGAGGCGAATTTAAGGATTACTGTAAAATGAAGTTCTGTCTAATGTTCTTTTTTGAGTACGTTTTTTAAATTATAAAGCATACAGAGGTAAAAAAAGAAAACTGTTGCCAAGTATGTTCTGTGTATGTTCTGTGAAAGTACCTACAGCACAGTTGCCTTTTGTTTCATTTATACATGTAAAATTATTGTATAATACAACACTGTTTTGTCCCAACACAACTGTATTTGCCAGGCTTCGTGCATTGAGATATTTTTATTTATTTGGTTTTGGGCAGTATTAATATATCATAAACATATGGCTACTGTTTTATATATTCTAGTTCATCCAATCCACGTATGCTGTAAATGTGCTAGTCTTTAGGATGAAAACCAATAAAGAACTGACAAGAATAACAAATGGTGGCTTACTTTTAATGCGTTTGTGGTAAATTAAAATAAACACTTTCACGTTCCTTGACTTGATGTGCCCTATCTGTTGGAGAATATATGAAGCTGTGTATGGAGATATTTTACAGAGAGGTATGCAAGCCAGGAAGTAGTTACTCCTAAACCCTGCTGAAGTACGGCTGCTATCAATTTTCTGTAGTTAAAGTCAGGCACCAGTTGGTCCCGCATGCTACGTGTTCAGCAGCAAGGTAAACAAAGAAGCAGTATGAGATATTTTTTTTTTTTTTAAATTTTATATACTTTCTCCATGAATCTTCTATAAGACCTTCCTGAGCTTCGTTCTGTGTTTTTCACTCTTCTTTCCATTAAGAGAATTCCTTCTCTGCTGCTGCTTCCCCTTCAGCCAACTCATCCCTCCAGCAGTTTTAATAATTACGCTACTTTTCAGCAGGTTGTCATTGTTGATTGGCATTTTGATGTCAGGTTAAATAAATTTTGTATAATAGTGTAACAGACAATAATCCAGAGCATTCTGATTTCTATTAAAATATGAAGAATAGAACATAAAAATGTAATTCTGCTGTCACTGGATGTTTGAGAACTGCCAAATACAATTTTATTTGTGTGAAAGAGGTCTGAGGACCACAGGTGGGGCTCAATGAATTAGTTTTTCTAGTTACACAGAAAGGAAATCAGTACCAGAAAAAAACCCAAGCTGTTTTCATTCAAAATGCAGAAAGAGAAGATGCTTGCCAAGTGGGAATTCCTAAATTGCACATGCAAAATAGATATACATACATGTGCGTGTATATACATATCTGTATTTCAAAATTTTTAAATTGGTGTCAAAAAAGTACCTACCGGTGTTCTTTTTAATTTAAAGAGGTGAGGTGTTTAAAAGATGGTTGAACATTTAACATCTTTAAAAGGCATTCTGAGCTATTAGAGAGATTGTCACTTGTTCGAAGCTGACGTACGTGCCTCCATAAAGATTGCTCCATTCAAAACCCAAGGCGACCGTGAACCTGGGTTGCCTGTGGAAGTGTGGCTGCACGAAGGGCATACGCATGTCCATGGGTCGGAAAAGATGCTATGAGGAGCTGCGGGGAGCAGCCACGACTGCGTGCTTTGGTGTGGAACCGCAACTCGTTCCATCTCTTTGCCGTGGGTTTTGCTGTACGACAACCCTCAGGCAGGACCTGAAGCTGTGGTACAGCCCTCCGTGTACGGGCGCTAACTGCACTTCGGAAAGGCTTACCTGATGTCACAAATGTAACATCGTGAAGTTTGAAACAGGTACTCTGACAAAAGAGAGGAAATTTTAATAGATGCAACGCCAAAAATGCATGAGAGAACAGAAAACCAAGAAGAATACAACAAACAATAGCAGAACGCTTGTTTAAACCAGAGAGAGAGTCCTCAGAAGAAATTGTAGGTAGTTTTGGTAACCAAGAGTAACCTTTTTCAGCGTTTTTCAGTTTGTGAATTTCTAAACGTTCCTAAGACCCACCTCAGAAATTTTCTACCTATATACTGTTGCTGACTGCATGTGGGTTTACAGTAGCTCTCCCTAATGAATGACGAGACTTTCAGGCTATGAATGGGAAAGCTTAACTCAACAGCAACCTCTTTTTCTCACGTCATTTTAAATGTCAGGCAAACGTTGAATGAAACAGAAAAAAATGTTCTGCTCCCAATTAATGAAATATTTCGCCCGTTGCAACTGACTCCCTTTGCAGCATGATGGTGACATGCGGCGCTGTGTCCTACTTCATTCAGTAGTGTCCAATGTGACCAGTTGATGGCATGAAAAAACAGTTTGTAAGAGCCTGGCATCCCTGCCAAGCATCCCATTTTTTTCTTAAGTCATGCCAATATTAAGTTGTATGTTATTTGCCAGTTGGGTCCTACAATTTCTGATGTTTTCTGTATTCTGCACAGACTTCTGCATCAAGAAGTTCTTATTTTTTGTGGTGGCTATTGTATTTGTGCATATACCCTAAATATTCTGAATGTAAAGTTCTGCAAATCTAGATTTTACAGATTTTACAGCATAAGGAACGTACTGTACATCCCCTAATGTCATTTATTCTAAAGTTTTGGTCTTTGCAGTCAAAATACTTGAGATAATGTGCTGTTTATTACTTACGTGTATGATTTTGTACCTAACCCCACATCACTAGGCTTGTTGACTGTACCTGAGGGACCAGGCTGGAGAAACCTTCCCAGTGTCTCCAAGGCCAGTAGCCCCAGACTGGACCACTCGGCCCAGAGTCTGTCACCGCCCATCAGGCTCACTGAACGTTTCATTATTCATAAAGTTGAAAAGTTAAAAGGTGAGAGATTACAACGGCCAACGGTAAGGGCATCGTCTGGAATACGAGCGAATTACGCTGTGGCTGAAATTGGCGATCTGGGATGGGAATGGTTTTGTTTGCTTAGTGCTCCCATCAGGGTCATTAGAAACCTTTTCTGCGGAAACCACACAGGGATTCCTGGCACAAACCTTTGGGAGGGAGCCTGGATGTGTGTCCCAACTGGATGGTGGGGGAAAAAGGGGGGAAGTTTTAGAAAATCTTCAATCTA